ATCTTTACTGCGTTAATAATAATTCTGAACGTATAAAGTTTTATGTTTAAAAGGTAAGTCTATTTTCTAAACGTGAATGCTAAACGTCGTTTTTTTATTAACTCTCTGCACATGATAATAATAAATTAATATTTGTTTTGTTACCGCGTAGAATATATGACAGTAAAATAAGATACGGAAGCTTTCAATAGCTGCAATTATAAACATACTTTTTCATTTATATATTTTTTAATGGTTATTTTCAAATATTTTAAAACTATTACCGTAGCAAAACCCTCTATGGATACATCAAATACTCTACCAATATTTAAGGTAAACTCCTTGCCTCCTCTTTGCAAAAGGAATAGTATCATTTTTTGTATTTGTAAAGGAGTTTTGTACCACTGAACATTGTACCTATGAAATTGAATATTTGAATACAGAGTAGATCACTAACTTAAGATATTAATTTTTATTAATTATTTTCGGCATATATGTGTATACGAATTTAAAATGCAGTTATAGATCAATTTCGAAATCTATTACTGCTACCTGCGAAAGAAAAAAACATTCATACTCTCGTATAAGAATATTTCTCTTACGCAGTAACGAATACGTCATTATTGTGATCAATTATACGTTGTCCAATAAAGTTGCCTGTAAACATGTATGCGATGCTTACAAACGCATATACAATCGGCAGTACAAGTTTGTTGATATTATTTTCAGATGATGCTATTTGGAAGATCTGAAAAACAAATTTCATAGAAATTATCAGTCTGTTATATAAACGTTTTAAATTTCGAACTATGAATTAATTTACTATTTTTACAGATAAGACTACAATTTGTATAGAAAGAATGATTTGCTATAAACAGTTGACTAATAACAATTATAGTAGTGTACATTTTATATAAATATATAAGTTTGTTTTCAGATTATATAGATTTTCACAAATGATATTTGCAACGTTTCTGTATGTACGTATTATATTTCATAATAGAAGTACCCAGTTATTTTTCGCGTTATTTTTTTCTCATAGTATCTATACTGATAGGGGAGGACGGGGCTGTTCGAAACCCGGAGCAACTCGAAATCCTCGCTGTATCTCGAATACTGAATTATCGAGTGTCAAACTGAATTTTATCTTTAGATTACGACTTTTTAGTCTGATATTTATGGTTATATGACGCTTACATTCGGTAATGAGATCGAGAGATAGCGAGGGTTCCGAGTTGCCCCGGGTTCCGAATAGTCCCGTTCTCCCCTACATATTTACAGTGTTACACTTCTCGTTTGTATATTATTTATTAACTTTTATTTTGAAAATTTATATGTGTAGCATATACAGGTTGTTTCTTAAATACCAGGTGTTTTACTTACATATAGGTATCAATATGATGGTTTACCTATTCGTGCAGACGCGCAAAGTCGTTCACAATTGCGAACACTTCGGCGGCAAATGTGTCATTGTCTGTGCCGCCGTAGTCTACGCAATTGTGAACGGCCTTGCGCGCCTACAAAAAAAAAGCAATTCATCATATTGACATGTATGTAAATGAAACACCTGGTCATACTCAAGAGGGCAATTCTTTGGTTTAT